AATATACGCTAACTCTCTTTACAGTATGCCCATTCTTTCTTTAGCTGTGCACTCAACTACAACAATATGTTAACATTATGCTAGCTGTACTTAAATCGCTCAAACATTGAATTCATATTCCTAGCATCGGTTGCTGGCATTTTATTTCCATACCTTGCTTGGGCATGCTGGCTATCTGGGAATCTCACTTCAGAGATAAAACTAACAGTTGCGCTACACCATAAAAGATCGCATATCGTTGTATGCGTGCACATGCTCTATGTGAGAATATTGTAAATTAATATGCAGAACTTTATCATCTATCGTATATCGCGTGGACAATTACATTCACTTATATCTAGTCATTATATAGAAGAAATTTTGAATGCAAAATTTCGCTTTCTCTCGCATGCTTGGATAAAGTTTTTCTTTTTACGAATGTCAAAACGAGTCCAAGCAGGTACTTTCCAACAATTTAATCATTAGTGGCAACCGGAAGTCGTCAACTACAAACTAATGCTTGCAATTGTTATTTCCTTAGTAGAAATCCATTCCGTCAAGTTGGACTCTCAATTTTAATAATAAAGAATTGCCTTAAAAATGTCCTTTTCATCTTACACAACCACCAGCACTCAAACTCCCGGAATGGATTTCTTACGATTCATAATTTTGTTCCAAGGATGAGTTAACTGACATCGAACTTGGATGCACTCGATTACGGTAGCTAACGGATACCGAAGAAAAATGTTTTCCTACCTCGAGAAGATCTTGCGAACCAAATGATCCTGAGCTTGATCTAATTGCGGCTCATTTTTTCTCCTTTCAGCCAACTCCTTTTCTCGACGGACGTCGGCGACCTTTCGAAAGATGAGCTGTGTACAGAATTCACCTTTATTAGATAATAATTCGGAAAAAATTGGGAGAGAAACATTTATAATTAAAACTTTCATTCAAAATGTTTCTCTATTTAAAACGATTACACGATCTAACAATGAATTTTCCACTAAACCGATTTCCCTCCAAGGGCAATAAATTCATGGTGGAAACAACAGACGATGCCTTTATTAATTTAGCAGAAAAACTCCGCTCTATCATATTAGGAGCTTATCTCATAATAGGGAACGTTCCTCTATATTTAAATTCCTACAATAGTAAGCTTGCTATTTGCCGAATGTTATTGGTTGCACAATTGGCACGTACGACGTTTCGTTCTACTCGATACGTAATTTTCTTAACAATGTAGGAGGACGAAAGAAGCGAGATCTCGGTTTAAACGATACTTAACAGCCAGGCGTTTTCGCGCCAGTGCGAAGATTGCATGGAAACAGCCGACGCTGTGTTTCGGCTTTGACGCATCGCGACGGACGCGCGTCATCTCGAATGCACTCTGTGCACAGGCAGGATCATCTCATCTCCCGCTTGAAAATTGCATATTCCCTTTGAGCAGGGCCGCGCTTCGTGTCCTTCCTCGCCCTTCTCCCACAATCATCGCAGTCCGTTCTACCTCACTTTGCCTCTGCCCTTCGCAGCTCTCGTTCCTGTTGTTGTTCCTTTTTTTGCTACGGTTTTTTTGCTGCGCGCGACGAGGAATGCGCGCGAGAAAAATATTTAAACGCACAAATACGTACGCGCGCGCCAGCGGAGCAGGTAGTGACGCAATACGTGCCGGTCGACGATAGATCGACTGGACTCTCGACCGTCCTGCCTCGCTCTTGGAGTCACATTTGTACGCAATCGCGGTTTTGTTTCGCTCATTCGCGCTTGTTGGAAAAATTGCTTTTCCCCCAGAAAAAAATGTTCCTCCCCCTCTCGCTCTCTTTGTTTTGGAAATCTGGAATTTCTGCCCCGAGTGATTCGCTGCTAGGCCACTGCTTCACAACCCTTTCGCGTTATCGAAAGCGGGACCGCCGGTTTTCATTACTCGTCAACGACGTACGGGGAAAATGCGCAAGCGATGCACAGATGCGGCATGGGGCGCAGGCGTAATGACGGAAGTCGATAGGGTCGATAGGTATCGATGTCGAGGTGCGCACTCGTAGTAGCGAGCTGCTCGCTCGCTCGCTCGCGTTGCACCTAACCTTCAAGCTTGCTGGTGAGCGTGTCCGAGCAGTCCGAGTCGATCGCGACGCGACGCGACGCGACGTAACGCGAGGCAACGTCGCGCCGCCTTCCTCGCGTCCTCGACGTACACGGGGCGGCCGGGTGGTGGAAGACTAGGAGAGGTTCGTAATGTACAATGTCTTATCGATGACGTGTTAAATGTCATGTGATTTCAATAGCGGCCAAACGGAGAGCAACACAACTTTTCTCACCCTTTTCCTTTGTGCAACGTGACGTTGACGGTTGTAGCAATTGTGCACTTTGGTCGCCTACAATGCCTGGAGTAAGCCTGGCGTGAGGAGTAAGAGAGAACTGTAACCTTTAGCTCTTGGTGTAAGGAAGCTAAAATACAGGTATAATTTTTACAGTATTTTAACACTGGCCGATGGCCTTCTGATTCGCCGAGAGTAAGCGTAAGAGCTTATCAAATTAATCTATTTCCTTACGCCTACTCCTTACCCCAGGCTTACTCCACCCATTGTAGACGACGCGTTACAGAGCTGTTGGACGCAATCCCTGTAGAATGATTACTTGTCGCAAGAGAAACAATTTTACGTTCCAAGCTGCTTGCGAAATGAGCGGGAAACAAATTGTTTTAGATGGGTCATGGGTCGAGCCGTTCCGCTTCGTCCAACATACTCTCGACGGAGGAATTGACACTAGTGGAGAACCTCTTTAAGTCCATGTCCCGCAGCTCAGGCTCCATCAAGCGCGAGGACATATTCAAACATTGGTCGATACACTTGGACGATGCGTTACTGCAGTTTGTGGTGCGATTCCTCTGTCACGACCCGGGAAAGAAGGTCTCGGCCATCAACGGGGAGAACTTTGGCCGGCTGTACGTGTTCGCCGTACGCGGCAACCCCGAGGAACGCACCAATTTGATCTTCGATGGCTTCTCGGAGGAAGAGCAAAAATACGAGATGCCCACCACCTCGTTCCTTCAGTATATTCAAGCAACGATTAATTCCTACTTGCGATTGCAAAAGAACTCTGGCAACGCGTATTACCTTACTTGGAGCAGCATCGGCTGCACTGTCAATACCAGGCGCATAGGGATGCGCTCTCGCACCCTCTGCGAGGAGTTGATCAGGTACGGGGACGCGTTGACTGTCGATCAAGTGGAGAGTTGGTTTGTCACAGCCGCCACGTTCAAGAATATTCAATCGCACGTTTTCCAGTACCTCTATCTAGTCTCGCAAAAGAAGGGTAGCGACAAGAATACGGGGGCGCGCGTAAACGATCTGAATCTTCTGCCGTTGTGCAAGGGTTTGGAAAATATACCGCACTTTCCGAGTATACTAGGGCTGGGAGACGTTCTGTTCCTAAATTTGAGCCTGCCGCTTGAGTTGCGCGACGAATGGCGATTTCTCTTTTCGAGCCAGGTGCATGGCGAATCGTTTTCGACCATGTTGGGAAGGATCGCGATGCAAGGCGCTACCATCATCATACTTCAAGACACGGACGACCATGTGTTCGGCGGTTTCGCCTCGGACAGCTGGAAGCTAGGACCGAACTTCATAGGCAATCAAACGTCGTTCCTGTTCAAGCTCGAGCCGGAAATACTAACGTTTTCCTCGACGAATTACAACAATCACTATCAGTATCTCAATCTCCATCAGCAAACCATGCCCAACGGCCTGCTTATGGGGGGCCAGCTCAACTATCCCGGCCTCTGGTTGGATTGCGAATACGGGACCGGCAAGTCGAGCTTGTCGTGCACGACTTTTCAAAATTACATACGACTTAGCGGTAAGGAGGAGTTCAAAATCAAACACTGCGAGGTGTGGGGAGTTGGCCTGGTGCCGGACGCGGAAGAGGACGTGCGCGAAATCAAGTCTGTGTTGGATCAAGACCCGGCGTCAAAGGTCATGCTAGAATTGTCCGGTCGTAAGTTACACAGCGAGGGACTTCGCGAGGAACAAGAGTAATTGTGATAAATATAGAGATTTTTTATGAGAGCTTGAGCAAAGAGAGAGAGAGAGAATGCTAGTTGTAAAGATATTGACAGATATTTAAGATTGATTACTTGATTTTACACAGAATAAAATCTATATCAATATTGTTATCGATCCCGATAGTTGTAATGGGATATATGCGGGTACGAGAAACGTATTAAAAAACTCATAATTATATAATAATGTTTACGATATGAGAGAGAGTCCTCCCATTTTACATGAGTGCGTATATTTTAAGTTGAAACGAATTCACGTGACAGCGACGTGGGAAACAGTTAAAACGCATTAACAGAAACGAATTACGAAAATCGTTGCGCAAGTTTGAGTGAAAGGGTTGCCCCGCTCGTCCGTTCGTATGAATCAATTCCGTATACACTTTTTACAGACTTGAGCGAGGCTGTTTATTTGTAATTATTTATCTAAGTATATTATTAGGACTTTTGTCCCTTTTTTATAACGGCCTGATGCCTCTCGATTCACGATTGTTTCTTCGATCATTCGATCATACTTGTGCAATTTTGTTATGTCGCGTACACGTGTATCTATTCAGTGCTATGATATTAAAGAATGCCGATTGTTGCGTGGCCTGAATGCCTATTGTCTAGTGCCTGACGAGTCGTTAAAATTGTTAATTTACCATTCTCTGCGTATGTTGATTATTTATAAACGAATAACCGTGTGCCATACAAATTGCTTTTGTTAACTAAGACTGTAATCGTCGTATAGTGAATAAAAGCAAACACTCCGACCGATTATTAAGTCAAAGGAAATCATCACGCTAGTGTAAGATCTATTAAAAGTTCAATAAACGATCAAAATCGATGTTTCGCCGACCACGTCCTTTTCGTCGATTTACAACGAACACGTTTATAACGTTTTTTTTTCTTCCTTTTATTTTGAGAGACTCACCCGATGACTGAGGTTGTAAGTCAGGATCAGGTTCCTGGCGAAGGAGTTCGCGAAGGCTTGATAAAAGTCCAACACTTCCAACAGCCGGTCTCGCTTGATCGTGTGCAAATCGCAGTAAGTGAGCGCCCTAACGTTCGCCGCGCTCTGGCCAATCGTCGGATTCGTCCAAAAACTATCGCCGAAAACGTCACCCTTCCCAAGTATCGCCACCACTTCGTCGTCCTGTATGACCTCGAGGCTACCGGTCACGATGAAGCACAGAGAATCGATGGATTCTCCCGTGTGATACAGCAGATCGCCGGGTGCGCTGTGCGACATCGTGAAGTGCATCGCCAGGGCACGCAGACACCCATCGGACGCTAATCTGTACAGTAAACGCGCACAGCAAAGTCTAATTATATATCTAATTACACTCGTATTTTTAAAATTTTATCGTTAAAAACAATAGGTTGCAAAGCCTCGATACATCGTGCAATTTTACCTGAAGGCAGGATGCTCGTTGAAGACTTTCCGGTTAAGATGCACGCAAATGTCGGCCTTCATGTCTTTGGGGCAGTAGTTGAGAACTTTATCCGTATCCAAGCCCTTGGTCATCGCCCATGTACTGACGACGTAATCCATGACGCGCTCGCTAAGAGCTTTCGGCACTTCATGGAGCTTCATAAATTCCCTCACGTTGTTCAACATGTCGTGATACTTGGCGGTAGCGGACGTCATTTGTTGGATGATTGTGGTGACATGACCGAAGATCGTGGCGTACAATAAGGCTGATTGTGGGAGGGAAAGAAAGAAAGAGAGAGAGAGAGGGAGAAAGAAAAAAATGTATTTAAGTAAAGTATTTACGGGTATTTGTCGTTTAGCTTTATCAAACGCGGACGATCGAGGTATCCTTTCAGTACGCATCGGCCGATTTATACGGATATTTAATTAGATTTAGAGTAATATTGGTATCCGTACCAGCGATGATCATCATGCAGATGGTGAAAATCTTCTCGTTGTCGGACTCGGCTGCAACGTTCCCGAAGCCCACGGAGGTCATGCAAGTCATTGTAAAGTAAAGAGCAGTGACATACATCGTGCGTCGTGACGGGCCGGCTACTAGTTCGGGTGCGGTGCTGGCATTGGTCCACAAGTAGCTGTACGGTGACTGGGTAACATTGGCCAGCTTCCACAACCACGAGTATTGCACCCCATTGTCGGCATCCGACCTCCCTATCGAATACCTTCGACGCAAGGAGATTTCTTACGAGATTGTATCGGACCTATCCGACAGGATATTGATGCGGTATCGAGATTTCGACGCGAGTTACCATTACGCGAGCTTCCAAAATTCTCGATTAACTTTAATTTAGGTTTTATTCATTTGCTCAATATCATGGCAATACTTTGTATCGTTTCCGCGTTCGCAGAAACTGCCTCTTTCTCATAAAAAGTTTACTTCAAATAAACGTAAATAGAAACATAAACTTTTTACTGAATCAAATTATTATAAACGTTTATCATTTTTAAGATGATATAATGAAGCGGTAGATGTGCATAATTTGTAGAAAAAGGAAGCACATTGCGTAGCACAAACATAGTCCTGATGAGCCTTGTCTCTGTATGTGTATACAATGTTGTACAGTAATGTATCCATCCCGATCGGAGGGATGTGCGTTACCTCGAATACGTGTGCGTGTGTACGCAGGGTAAAATCACCTTAATATGACGTACCAGATACAAGCCAGCCAGTGAGCAACCAACATGTAGAAACAGAGCAGAAGAATGAGCATCGCAGCACCGTACTCCAGATAACGATCCAACTTGCGTACGACTCTACCAAGTCGCAGCAGCCGAACCACCTTCAGAGCTGAGAACAAGCTGCCTATTCCGTCTTCGTCGTGGTCAAAGGCGTTAAATACGTCATACGGTAGACAACTTAGTAGATCTATGAGGAACCAAGATTTCAAATAGTTCATTCTGATTACCTGAAAGTATCAAAGGGTAACCGTTATGAAAAACATAGTTGATTATTAATATGGCAGCAATCACTATTATAATATTATACATATCAGTGTGAACACTAACGTCGAATCGACTGGGTATACAACTAAGGCAACAATTTTAAATAGAAATGATAGGAAATATAAATATTCTTCCTAGATAATTGTCTGCAAAAAGTCTTGGTAAAGTTACCTTCGGATCAGATACCACTTCTCCACCAGCACCAACAAACGTTGTGTGAAAATTGAGTACAATGTCGATGAAGAATATCACGTCGACGATACTGTCTACAACTAACAGGGAGACATCCTCGCTAGTCTTATTCTTAAACGCGACATTATACGGCACCATTATGGCTGTGTAAAAAGTAAGACATAAAATGATCCAGTCCCAAATTGCCTTAAATGCACAGTAATGTAACAGAATGTGCGGCGGTGTTTTTGGCGCTTCTTGTCTGTACTGTGGCATAACATCGCCACTCAAGGACATCATCTGAAAGAAAAACGTAATGTAGGAATACACCACAAGAATTGCGAAGAATAATTACTACCAAGTCGTAAAAAATTATTCGTTTACGATACGTATCGAGATTTATATTTTTTTAATTCGTCGATTTAAAGCTTTATATTTTTTTTCACAAATTTTGATTCTACTGAAAAAATTACGTCAAAAATATCAATCGGTCGTTATCAGAAAGAACGAGTTATTTTTATCGCTTACATATCGATTTCTTATCCATCTATCTGATATCTCTTTCTTACACCGAGTGCGGCTCCATTAGCTTTTCACACTCCAAAGAGCTCTCGAATGTAAATAAGCTTTCTAGGTTGATTTTCAAGAGTAATTCATGCAGATGTGTTCTCAGCTTTCCATTTTCTGACGAAGTCGGCGTATTGAAAATACGTTTCTATTTTATCGATTTATAAATGGGACTTTGTAGAACTTGACTACTACAGCCATTATCCATTATACTGACTGTTTTGAAACGATACAACAATTTCTGCACTTTAAAAGTCGTGGTAAGAAAAGAGATATCGAGATACATATTTTCAAGATAAATACTTGACAGATAGATGGACAAATTATTCCAACATTAATAGAATGATAATAAAAGGGTGATACACAAAAGTATATAAAAACCAAGATTTTGAATTTTGATAAGATTATTAAGCGCGATAGTAACTTACATGACCTAGATGTGATTGTTTGGTGGTAGTCGGTACAGCTGTGTCTTTCAAAGCCGGCAAATGAGAGCTGAACTGAGAAACTAGGACCGATCTCGATCTGGTGACTGATCTGGCGAGCTTGGCGAATTTGGAGAGACCGCCTTTGCTGTCGTCCGTTTCGATGGGCTGCTTCAGGGCGGTAATGTCTCGAAATGTCAGCAGGAACAAGACCACGAGGTCCCGTTCGTTTTTGATGGGTGCTATTTGCAACAGCAGCCATAACGGTGTCTCTATAGATCGTAAAAGAAACGGATAATGCTGACATCGTCAACGTATGAACAGGGAAATGAATAATCTAATATTTAATTTATATATTTTTTCAAGCACTATCAGTCGCAGGAGGATTATGAATTTCATATCTTTAGCAGAGACTATATTGAATCAGCAGGTCAGCCGGTCGTCAATTCAGCTGCTGGAATCTAGAAGAAACTACGCTAAGTGTATCAAAAAGTAGACTCCAATGAGAAGCTGTGCTTTATACAGTAATAAAAGTGCAACAGAAGGAAATTAAATGTGTAAATTAATTGCACTGTTTCATAAATTATATAAGTTTGTAGAGATAAAATTTGATAACAAAACTTGATACACAATTAACGTAACGAGAGAAATAACGAAAAATATTTTATTTAACTAAAGAAAAAAAGAGATATTTTATTTTAAAAAAACACACAAAAATGCTCTCTTCTTTAATGTGGTTCACCCTCAAATAACACAAATAAAATACAAAAGCTCAAAACATTTCCATACATGGTTGCGTCACTGTAGTTAAATTAATTAGACAGTGTACTGTTTATTAAATCTCCAAGTCAATGCTTAATCCTTGTAACGTGATGCTGTTTCGTGAACCCTAGTGACAAGTCATACCGCGCACTAAATTAATGTAACACTAGTCACACTTGTCCACAATGTCGCATATTCGGCATGCAGGATCGAAGCTGTAGGTGAATTCAAGCCAATGGAATCCAATTAAGGGGATTCGCTTATGATATTTAGCAGTGTAAAGCATGCGAGCATGCGAATAAATAATAGTAATGAGTACAATTCAATTAATGAGAGGACCAGAGCAATATATGGGTTGAGTAATAAAGACAAATAATAAGTAATATCAAAAAATCTAAATACGAAATACGAATGAGTAGAAAAGTTAATTTACTGGCGTGTCTCTTGGATACCTATCTTTATGTTAGTCTTTGATGCACCACATTCTCTTATATACAGTTTCGAGAATATCTCATTTTAACAATACTTGGTTTTTTATCGCAGATTAACAAAAAAATATAGAAATTCAAACGTACAGATAAAATTTGGGGCCCTAAGGAATAATATATAAATGTTCAATAATATTTTGGACTGTCTACGCGGGTATTTACAACGGGCTTAATTAAGCAACCTTGTAAGCCTGTCGAGCGACGCATACGAGCTACATGTGAGAAGCATCGACAACGTACATACATCGGCCGCAATGATATATCGACGACCATATTTCCGAGAAATAATAAAAACTCTAAAAAGCGTAAGTCACCGCTGTGTGTGTGAAAATATAGCTAAGGCTTCAAATTAGTTCTAAGTGAAGTGAAGGAGCTTTCATAATTAATCGAAATAACTGTAATAGAGTAAACTCAGCACCGAAATATTTCTCAAAGATATCTAGCAAATATCTAGCAAATCTTTAATAATAATATTATTTATGAAAAGACGCTTATTTAAAATGTTCTGTTAAGAGTTGTCAATTGTAAAATATGAGATGAAGAGATACATTTTTTGCAGAATATCCAAATTATCTTGATTACTCCGATATTAAACCTTAGGCGAATGCCAATCATATGTTTGAATATAATGGCGTAATTATACGCCAACGTACGTTACAGAGCGTGTTATGTGTTACTGCATACGAAACAAATGGAAACAGTATCATAGAATATACGCGGACTGTCAATACAAACGTGATGAAATTTGATGTTAATGAGAAGGAGAAATAACCGCAGTACGTTCAATCGATCGAAATGTCTCGATTCTATTAATGAGATCGCAGGTTTTCAACACTCAAATTCAATGACAAATCTTTTTTCGCGACGCCTATTAATTTAACAGAAACCCCGCTGTCCATTATTAGGATCCTATCTCATAATAGAGGACTTGCCTCTACTAATATGCGTGAGAATTGAACGGAATTGAATTTGTACGATCTCATAAAATGTAAAATATAATTTAGAAAAAATTAACGAAAGAGTAACGCGAGTAAGACTTTGTTGTTCAACAATGCGGTAATAATACATTGCGACAATAAATCAAATAAGTCTAATTTAATGTTTAAATGTGAAATTTTTAATATATGTCGTTGAAATCAGACAAATAGATTGAAATTTTATTATATGTATATAGCTGTGTGTTGTTGGGGAGAGAATGAAATGTTATATAAAAAATGGTCCAAGAAGAGAATCCTCATTTCCCGTAATATGGCGCATAGTTAATTTGTCTTTTACAATCTTTAGCACTTATCCCTATGGATTAATCAACTGCGAGTTGCAAGTTGATAATCCTCAAGGTGACTCTCTCTTCTCTCTTCGGAGAGAAAAATGAGCGTCATCGCATTTATCTCCGCGTCCCTTCCGACGATAAGAACTGTCGACCGTGGTTTTCCGACAAAAAGGTACTTAGACTCGCCAAATGAGCGGCGCAAAACTAATGTTTGCGATCTATTTTTACAACTATCGGCAAATGGTGCTATAGCGAGGCGATAATCTTTCCGTTCTAGCTCCGATTACGATGGAAATGTGGCCGTTTTCCATAATGCAGGTATTCTAAAGAGAGAATTTGAGAAAAAACCTAAGACGGTTGCAAAATATTAACGATACTTGAAATAAATCTCAATCATCTCATCTCTGTGTTAATACAACCAAATAGAATTTGGTATAATAATGTTTTAGTATATTATAAATTTAACTGAATTATTTGTTTTAGTGTAACAGTTTGCTTTTTCAAAAAGTCGGCCAGAATCAGAGATTTAGGATCAAATTTAATGAATTTAAATGTCAATATTAATTGAAGTTTATTATCGACGTAATAAATGTATCTGTCGTACATATGGTGTCCCTTGCTTAGATTTTAGATTCGTGGGTGACTTACTGGTGGCATTTGCGAGCACGCTTTTGCGAATCTGTGCTAGACATACCTCTTGGGCTACCTTTAAACAAAACGATCTTTCGTTATTATGCTTAATACGTCGTGCATTAATAAGGGAGGGTGTTTTCCTTTATCAAGAAAATGATGATAAATAATGGAATAATCTTCAAAGTTTTCAAAACGAGATAACACGCGAATATTAGAGCGAGATGATGCGATACGATGGCAGAACGACCAGCGAAACGCGAACCTTATCGATGATGTATATGCAGTTACGATTCTATATTCCACCAAATATCGTGCATGCACATTGATATATCTCGTGCCTCGAGGCGTATTCGTAAAACGGGAATCGACGGTTTCGCTGTTGGCAATTGTTGTTGAAAACATTGTAATTGTGACAGGTACGTTTCATAAAATGCTTTATAAATTTAAATAAAACTCGATTATTCAATTATTTAAATGAAAATTGTTACAACGGAAATATTTTTCTACGCGACACATTACACATAATTCTTACTGCACTTGTGATTTTTTAAGTACAAAATACATGTGAGTAAAGTTTTGATATAATTTAACTTTCGATAAACATTCCACCTGCGCACATAACATTTTCGACAATGCAGTGAGACAGATGGCAAATATTTATAGAAAACTTATTAAATCGATGTCTTTTTAAAGAGATATTGAAGCTTGTTTTCATATATTTGAAGAGAGATCTTTCACACGCTCGTCGGTATACGAAAGAGCCATAAATTGCGCATTTCCAGCGTACCAGCGCGTTTGGTTTCGATTACATGTCCCAATTAACGCAACAGCAACGGTTACGCTGGCAAAACGTCGGTTCCTCCACGCTAAGCAGCGGCGTTTTGTTTTCCATTAAATACATAGACCCGGCTGATTGCCGGGTACCTCTAACGTTTCCGCACTGTGCACAATACATAAAGAGTATGGTGGCGCAATAGGAAACTAGATGCCGGCCCGATAAACACGCGCATGCAAATTTCGCGCAATAACTCCCTGGCCGAGATTCCGCGGGTAGTTTTTCTCCCCCTTTCCAACCACCTTTTTGCACGGCTATCCAATTACCCCGCGTGATAAACGCATCAAGAAAAACGTACTCGCCACCGACGGCTTTCTGCTGCAACGTGTGAATTTCGCCAAAATCGAAAATCCCATCCCTTCTGTAATAACACCGTACAAATTATCCAGTTTGGACAACGTTTTACGTTGCAATAAGAATGTTCGCAAGATTCACGATTACTATTTGAAACGTGTCCACCGATTTTGTAACGTGAAATAAACAAGTGATTTATATGTTAGATCTAACAGCTGGAAACTTTTCTTATCCCCGAACGTTCTTCCTTTCTGCATATTAAATACTGAGAACGCTACGTCGAAAACCATCGATACTCGTAACAAGCCACGTAAAGAATTCGTAAAGAACACCACATTTAAGCTTTTGCATGCGTAAATTTCTAAGGATAATGACTCACTGCTTTTCTTGTACAAGAGGATCTCGAATTGATCGTGAATTTGACCCTCGAGGCATTCCTCGATCCTGGCGATTGTTTCCTTGTCCGTTAGCTCCCCGTACATGAATCCACAACGACATGACTTTTGCATCACCTGGAAATACAGAGCGCACATATTAAGTATTTGTCATAGCTCTTTTTTTTTTTACTTATAGAACATTGTGTATATTTGTGTGTGCTATATAGTAACACGCATTATTATTATACAATTTACAGATATGATAAACATGGACAGATGATAAATACACGATACGATTACACGTGGTAACAATTAATTACTTGTACAATTAGAACAGTCTGCTCCAAATAAACATCCCGCGCTTGTTTCATTCTTGGAAGGGAAAAAAGTGTATCGTGAAAGATAATCCAATAGTCTAAAATTTCTAAGCGTTTCTGCACACAGAAATAAAGTATCTCTATTGTGAAATCTTTACGCGAAATGTTGTCAAAACTCAAAACAAGCAGTCAAAAATATAACTATAGAAAATAAATGTGAATAAGTCATTTTCACAATTAGCTATTTTTCCAATCAATAATGTTATTGTAATCAATTGAAATTTGTGTACATGTATGAAAATCATATAATGCATAACGCGGTTTCGATTGTACAACAAACGCTGTACTACAAACAGAAGCCGTTGTAAATAAAGCGTTTCTTCAAATAACGATCTCATGGATCGATAATGTCGATAAAGGTTGACCCGATATGTTATCAAATGCCGATGAAAGCGAGAAACAGCTTGTGCCATTCGTGCAGATATCGAGCATAAGTGATATCGTGTTTTTCGACCTCGAAACAGATTTATTAATCCCGTAGTGCTGACCTTTAAATCCCGTTCACAAACGCAATGGGACCGATATAACTGCAATCCTGATCAAATCCGTCACTCGCCGTAAGGTGCAACTTTTTAATTGGACACGCAATCTTGCGCAAAAGAATGGCATTTAGAGAAACAATGTATAAAGGATAAAACTTTTAATGGAAAAAAGAACAGGGAACTTTACACACATACACACATATTGAAGTGATTTATTTTAAACGCTCTGAATCGAAATTTTCCTGGTATCTACAGCATTCGTATACAGATGTGCGATAAAACGACACGAAATAGCACATATTTTCTGTATGCAACAACGAGTCTATTGTGTTAGCTTTTTCATGTTTTCCATATACAATAAAAAGAGAGAGAGACTTTTTGAAATGGGCAAGCACGGATGTAATATTGTTGACTGACACGAGAGAAAACTCAGGGACATGACTTTTAAAGAAAACTTGGAGATTTTCCAACCGAAGAAAAGAATTTTACGAGTGCACGATTATATATTAACCCGATTATGCCTTTGAGGCTGCTGAAGATAATAGGATTAAAGACGTAATTTTCCTTAATAATACCGCGTAGCTACGTAGGCAGACTTGAAATAGTTAAACGAAAGGTCACAAATGCAGCGGAGTTTTATTCAAATTACCAAGTAGAATTACTTATTGCTTCTTAAAAGGAACCGGCAATCATTGTAAAAGGAGCTTATGATCATCTAATTTATCCAACAAATATTTTTGCATTCAAACGTCTGCTTTCGAAAAGTCAACCAGTGGATTTTCACTAACAGTGAATAGTCACTGATTTACAATTATACGTAATATACTACTGCGATTTTCAGTGGTATACTTATAACTGCAAATTAGTGACTATTCACTGTTTTCAATGATAATCCACTGATGGATTTTTAGAGTGTTTTTATCTCTCGTGTAAAATAACAATATGATGTTACAAATTACAAACGAGATCGAAGAATGCACGGTATGTATTCTTCGCCGTCGTCACTTTCGTTCTTCATTCTGTAAACCTTCGAAAGCATCCCCAATCCGGTTTCCAGTAATGGAGTTTGCAAACCCCAAATCCATGTATCTTCTCAAACAATAGGATTGGAACACTGGGAGTCTTACAGAAACGAGGTGGTTACTACGTCTGCTACTACGTCGTCACTTTGGTCGAGACGTTAAAGCTCAACTAGAGCCGAGTCACATTCGAACCAAATAATTCAACATGTTTAACGTAAGTAGAAGAGACTATTTTTGTTTGTTTCTCGTGCCATTAGTTTACGAGTTTTATTTGACAAAATTTCTTATTGCTTCCTCATAGAGGAAGCTTTGTTTTCGTGAAAAAATTTTTTTCCAGTTTTTTTTGAAAACATGTTTAGAATGTTCTAAAACATCAAAAAATCACATTCAGAAAAAATGTCGCTATGTATGTATGTATGTATGTA